GTTAAGCCCGGTTGTACTAATATTATTTTGGTTTTAAGCAAGACTTAAATATACGTCTGTCTTTATTTATTTAGAAAGAAAGATAAAGATAGATATATATTTAAGTTTTGCTTAAAATAATGTTGGTACAACCAGGCCTTAAAGAGATAAATACATCTTAACCTAAATGTGCTTTAGTCATTAACATATACAAATTTATTGAAATATAAAATATTTTCAAAGTTAACGTGAAATTATAAAGGTAAACGAGAAAGAAATGTTTGAGCAGGCCTTGATAGCACACAATATTTATTATGTTTTCCGTTTTTGTTCCGTGCCATGTGCCATGTGAAATTCACCTATCACACAACGGAACGGAATGAAAGCAGAATTATTTTGATTGGCTGATGCCCACTATATCTCTTTTCCGTAAGAGGTGCGTTCGAAAACATCACCCGTGTGTATTTTGTCACACTCAGATCATTCGAAAACCCCTAGTGGGCACACTGACCATGCGACCATGGCCGTTCGAAAACCGTACTCCGTGGACCACTCGTGTGACTTTTCTCCACTCTCTTTTGCGCGGTGTGAATCGGTGGAGATGGTGGAGAGTGCGCAAAGAGTGCAATACAGTATGAAATTACTAAATTATTTATGGTTTTTTGTTCTTCAAAACATTCGTACAACCATTAGCCATCACAGTAAGATAAAAAATTTAAATACAGCAGTGTAGGTTAGCCAGGTTTAGATTTATTTCTATAGTGATGTATATTGTCAGAATATTGTCTTTAAATATAAATAAAGCTTATTAAGCTTTTTGTATTTTATAGGTTCTGAAATTTTCTTACGAGATACGAGGCACGTTAAAAGTCACGAATCAGTAACAATTTGTGAAAAAAAATGGAAAATTTAATCTCGGGTCGTCATATTTTATGCATGGATATTTAAAAAAATATACAAAAGGATGACAAGGGAAATGTCTATATATACGATGTTAAAGGTAAGGAGTAATAAATAAGTTTATAAATTTCCTTAGGCCTGGTGCCCACGATGCTAGAAATCGATCCGAGTTCTCGGACCGAGGAATATATAGCCAATTAACTTTCCAGATAACTAAATTATAAATTAATAATTACTAAATTAATTAATTAATTACTAAATTTATTAATTTATTATTATTTTGTTGAGAAGCAATTACAGCTAATGTCGAAATACGCTTTCGATCAGCCATTTTGTACAACACATATGTAGGCACACACACATGTAGTATGTCACATTGAGCATTCTTCCATGGCTGTTCGAAAACTCCTCTCGATACCAACTCCACTAACCCCACCAAGCCCATCCACCACAGCCACTTTCCGTCGTGGACTTTCAGTGTTTTCGAACGCACCCCAAAAGAGAGTGGAGAAAAGTCACACGAGTGGTCCACGGAGTACGGTTTTCGAACGGCCATGGTCGCATGGTCAGTGTGCCCACTAGGGGTTTTCGAACGATCTGAGTGTGACAAAATACACACGGGTGATGTTTTCGAACGCATCCCTAGTGCAAGCAACCGAATTCGCTATAAGACATGTATTACACCATAAACAATGTGCAATACATAAACTCGATGAGTATTCTAAAATAGTTTGGAGCGTGTATTCTAAAATCGTTCTCGAAAAATATTCCACAAATATTCTCGACAAATATTCTATACACTTTCGAAGAATATTCTTAGCAAGTTCTTTTTCATTATGAAAATATGTCTCTAATTGTAATATTCTACGTATATTTATTGAACATTCCATTTGAATATTCTGAAATTCAGAATATTCGCATTTTATAAAAATATTCATAGAACATTGTATGCTATATGGGTTGGGGTAGAGAACGTCTAGTAAAGAGAATCGCCAACTTGGACATGTGATCAGCTACTCAGCTACTCTGCGATTGGCTGGCATAAACATGTACGGATTTGGATATTGCGATGCTGATGCAAAACCATATATATATATATATATATATATATATATATATATATATATATATATATTTTTTTAATTTAAATTATAGTATCCACAACATTGTATATTATATCTGGTAAGCGGACATAATCCATAAAAAAAGAGGGGATAGCGTTGGCAACGTTCAAAAGTTCCTAGGATCCATAAATTCATTTCTCAAGGTTAATATCATTGTTAGACGGGAAAATGCACAACAGAGGTGTAGAGTTGTGACAAGTTACATGTCACAGTGTCAAAAGTAAACATAGCGGGAGTGAATGACAAGTTATGGAGACAGAGGTTAACACCAAATTTTGTTAATTGGTAGTTTCCTCGGATTATTTTATGGAAGAAGAAGAAGAAGGTTAGTACCAAATGTTAAAAATCGTGAATTTCAGATAACGTTTTCATCGAGTTCATGAGCGTGATAATAAACAGTGCGACTGACTTCACTCCAAGTGGCATTATATATAATTTAATGTTTAATGCGCAAGATCGTATATCATCAAGTGCTAAGCTTAAAATAACGGCGAGGTGGATTTAATCTAATTGCATGTAATGTATTGCATTTCAGGAGAGAAAAGCGACTGATACTCAAGAGCAGTCTGTGTACATATATACTTGGAGCAACAATGGAGTTGAGTCATAGTCTGACCTTCAACGAGGATGGTCTTAATGAAGTTCACGCGAGTCCAAATGAGCAATTTTAATCTGTGAGTGATCATGCTTCTAGACAAAGTTCTGGTCGATGCTCAAAAGGTATGGATATCACAGTTCGACATTTGCAAATATAGAAAATTTGTAATCACAGATCTTATATGCTGTATAGTTTTAGTGACTAAAATAATTATGCTAAATATGTGTATTTGCAGAACGATATTAAAGAACGCCAAGATACAGAAGATAACAGAAGTTGGAACAGCTGACCAGACATATGCAAAGAGCTCATGGTCCATCCATATCATCTGACGCTTACCAATACCAAGGTGCCTCGCGACTTTATTCAGTGGCCTGGTTTACATCGTACACTTGATACGCGTACTAAATAGTAACTTTCTATTAGATAATTTTAATATCGACGATATATATAAACAACGGTATATTATACTTATATAATATTCATCAAGAAAACGTATTGATTAAACGCATCGCCGCTGATATGCATATATAGCTCAATCCTCTCCTAAAATGCAATATATTACATGCAATTAGATTAAATCCACCTCGCCGTTATTTTAAGCTTAGCACTTGATGATATACGATCTTGCGTATTAAACATTAATTTATATATAATGCCACTTGCAGTGAAGTCAATCGCACTGTTTATTTTCACGCTCATGAACTCGATGCAAACGTTATCTGAAATTCACGATTTTTAACATTTGGTACTAACCTTCTTCTTCTTCTTCCATAAAATAATCCGAGGAAACTACCGATTAACAAAATTTGGTGTTAACCTCTGTCACCATAACTTGTCATTCACTCCCGCTATGTTTACTTTTGACACCGTGACATATAACCTGTTACAACTCTACACCTCTGTTGTGCATTTTCCCGTCTAACAATGATATTAACCTTGAGAAATGAATTTATGGATCCTAGGAACTTTTGAACGTTGCCAACGCTATCCCCTCTTTTTTTATGGATTATGTCCGTTTACCATTATATCTTTATATATGTACATTGTGCTTCTATAAAACTGGAGGCATCCATCTTGCTCAACACGTTGTGCTTAAGGTGCCAATACATGGGAGCGTTCCAGTGTCGAGTGTTAAAGCGTTAGCCAATCAACGTATCAGGTTCCAGAAGTATACTTGTAGTTCTTGCGGAAAGTGGCACGTTGATTGGCTACCGCTTTAACGCTCGACGCTCGATGCTCCTATGTAAAGGCACCTTTAGATTTAGTGTACTTTCAATTCGCTGAAAAACATGGCGACCGCTGAGTAAACCTGTTGCGCCGCTGAATGCGTTAAGTACCGTTCAGCAGAAAATCATAAAACAGTTGTGCAACTTTTGTGTTCTGCTGAACGCAGCCATTAGCCATTTTTATGATTTTCTGCTGAACTTTCTGCGGTACTTAACGCATTCAGCGACGCAACATGTTTACTTAGCGGTAGCCATGTTTTTCAGCGAATTGAAAGTACGCTGAATCTATGCACAACGTGTTGAGCAAGGTTGTGTTCTGTTTCACGCATATGCGCGCATTTATCTATAGTTCATGTTACGTATATTGTAGACAATGCGCGCATAATGCGTGAAACGGAACGCAACCCAAGATAAATGCCTCCAGTTGTATTGAAGCACAATATATATATATATATATATATATATATATATATATATATATATATAAAGATATAATATATAATGTTGTAGATACTATAATTTAAATTGAAAAATATTATATATATATATATTAATATATGTAGCGCTGACATGCGTTAGCGTTCAGCAGAACATCTAAACTGTTGTAATGTATCATTAAATCGTTTACAAAGCGCTGAGTTCTGCTGAACGCAGCCAATATGCGGAACTCTGTTTCTTTCGAACGTCCTAGATTTAATCTGCGTTGTAATGTACTTTATTTATATATTAGAAAATATGTTGATATTACAAGAATAAAATACTTCGACTTGATAATGAAAAAACGTTAACGTTCACGTAAAAACTTATGGATTAATTTACATCCACGTAATTCAAGTAAATCACGTGATTCGACGTGGAAACAACTTGCTTGTTTTTGTCAAGAAAACTTTTCGTTTTTTACGAGTTTATGCGAAGGAAATAAATATATGATCGATTTAAAATTTAGTGCTATGACTTTAAAACGTGACTACGACCGTATTGTAGACAATCTCTAAATGTAAGGAGCTTTTTATAAGTTGAAACAATCGGCCCTAAGTTATTATTTATAAGCAAATTAACCAATTACAGTTGATTATTTTCAAAAAATGGTTGTTTAACTTGCGTACGGCTTATAATTAATAGTTTATTGTAGAACTGCTCATTACAGATAGTAATTAATGTTATGTTTGTTCAAATTTACCTCACTATACTTAAAAAGTTAAAGTTGCGTTTAAGATCCACAGGTAACATTGACTGCACGAATACACAAATGTGAATGCTATTCTGATCAGTGCCATTTTATATAGGGATGCCATGGATGTAGGAATATAAGGATGGAGTGTAATCCCGAAGGGGGAAGTTACAGAGAGAGGGGGACGAGGTAAAAATTGTGTCTAATTTTGATTGGTTTTTACTATGCGCAAGCGTAATGGCTCCTGCACACAGGACGCGGTAATGCTTGCCGCACGGAAGAAATCCGTGCGACAGCCAATCAATATGTTGTTTTTCCGTAAGAGCTAGAAGGTTATTACGAAAAACAGCATATTGATTGGATGTTGCACGGATTTCCGCCGCGCGGCAAGCATTACCGCGTCCTGTGTGCAGAAGCCATTAGGCCCGGTTGCTCCAACATTATTTTGGTTTTAAGCGAGACTTAAATATACCTCTGTCTTTATACATTTAGAAAGAGTGATAAAGATAGATATATGTTTAAGTTTCACTTAAAGCTAAAATAATGTTGGTGCTAGGACTTAGTCCCAATCCACAATAGGTATAGTAATCTTTAAGCCTTAAAAAATTGACCAATCACAGTTAAATGTAAGGAAAATAATCGACCGTGATTGGTTAATTTCGTAAGATTTAAAGACTACTACACCTATTGTGGCTCAGGACTTATGGCTCCTGCACACAGGACGCGGTAATGCTTGCCGCGCGACGGAAGTTCACGCGACACCCAATCAATATACTGCTTTCTGTAATAACCTTCTAGCTCTTACAGAAAAACAACATATTGATTGGCTGTCGCGCGGACTTCTGCCGCGCGGCAAGCATTACCGCGTCCTGTGTGCTGAGGCCATTAGAGATTTTAAAAATGACGTCATGATTTCCATTCGTGTTAAGCCCGTATCAGACTACGGATTAAAATTGAGATTGAATTGAAAATTGGCCAATTAAGTTCACCAAACTTGAGCTTAGTGAATTTTGCTCTAATTGGCTAAATTTCAATTCAATTTCAATCTTAAACTATAGTCTGATACGGGCTTTACGAGTGTAAATTTTCCAGTTGCGTATACTGTGTTACACAAAACCAGTTTATTGGTTGCATATTATCTTACAAGATATTTTAGATAATATATGACCAATAAACTGGTTTTGTGTACGTGTGTGTCAAGATGTGTTAAGCAATTGGAAGCACCAAATGCAATTCTGATACACTTCAGCCAGTATTCATAATCAGATCTTCTATTTAAGATCAACTTAAGTACTAAGATATCATGAACCAATCACAGAGCCATATTCGCATCTTAAGACATTACTTAAGACGATCTTGAAATAAGATTCGACTATGAATACCGGCCTTTGTACACTTGGTTCCGAGCACGAGTGAAAAGTGTATAGAATTGCATTTACACTCGTAACACGAACGGAAAACATCCCAAATAGCCAAGTTTGCAAAAGTCAGGTTTTGCTAAGTGTGTACTGCATATTATGTTGACATAATTTTGGCATTAACGAAGCATGATCTGTGCTATGTCAGATAGTGCGTGTAAAAATGTAATAGAAATCTAACAGAATCTACATCATGATATGATGGCAAAAATAATGCAAAAATGAGGCACGATTGTCAGCAGAGCAAGAGAAAAATTTAAATATTAAGTACAGACATGATTTTTCGTCATGAAGCAGCATAAAATCGAATAAAGAACGTGTCATTTCATGCAAACAGTAAGGCATTATCAGAGATCAAATTACCCAGATAGCCATCTGTTTATGAAGTTGCCGTCAAGTTGCTGAGAACCGTTAAAGGAACTGTTTTCGAAAAAGTAGGGATAAGGTGCTTCTACATTAGGTTTGTTCGAGTTGTACTTTTCACACTTTTACATCTAATGCCCGTTGTACACTAGTGCACTCCAAACAACACAAATTTTCAAAAATACATTCTGAAGACGTTTTTAGGACGGAGGGACGTCATCAGAATATTCTTAGGACGTCCTTTGAAAGTGTGAATTGTTTTAAAATAGCTAATATCCAATAAGTTTATTCACATTAATTGAATTTTTTACACTTTCACACTTAGTGCACATTAATTCTTTAGAGGTTCTAAAAATGGCGTCATGTTTTCCGTTCGTTTTACGAGTGTAAATGCAATTCTGATACACTTTTCACTCTTGCTTGGGATCAAGTGTAAAAAGTGTATCAAAATTGCAATTATACTCGTAAAGCCCGTATCAGACTATAGATTAGGATTGAGATTGAATTGAAAATTGGCTAATCAGAGCAAAGTTCACCAAACTTGAGCTTAGTGAATTTTGCTTTAATTGGCTAAATTTCAATTCAATCTCATTTCTAATCTGTAGTCTGATACGGGCATAACACGAACGGAACTTATGTCATTTTTAGAACTTCTAAAGAATTAATGTGCACTAAGTGTGAAAGTGTAAAAAGTTCAATTAATGCGAATAAACTTATTAGATTTTAGTTATTTTCAGACAGCTCACATCTTCAAAGAACGTCCTAAAAATATTCTGATGACATCCCTCCGTCCTAAAAGCGTTTTCAAAACGTATTTTGGAAAATTTGTATAGTATGAGGTGCATTAGTGTGCAACGGATATTAGGTGTAAAAGTGTGAATAGTACAAGCATCTTGAACAAACCTATTATGTTCGTTGGATTGTCCTCACATGTATTCTTCATGACTCGACAGCAAGTTGACAGCAACATGACGACAACAATTGCTTAAATGTGAATGATGTACATATGATGGCATATTGTCATCGCATATTCCAACGAAGCATCTAATCATACAAAGAAGTACTGGGTGTTTACGACAATTAGAGCTGCGTTCAGATTTCTTACCCGTGTGCACTCTAATACAAGAAGTGCTGTAGTATATATAACATATACTATAGTGTTTCTAGTAACAGAGTGCACCCGAGTAGGGAATCTAAACGCACCCTAGAGTTAGAGTTAGTTGCACTAGGGCTGAAAATTATGATAGGCACGACCATCTAATACTTTTGTAGTTCATAACTTCTTCTAACTCAAGGGATGTTTACATTAAATCGAGTACGAGTTAGTTCCACTAGGGTCGAAAAATGTAATAGGCACAATCATCTAGTATGTTTCAAGACAATTCAGTACTGCTTTCCGATGCTCGAGTAGAGTTAGTTATAACGTTTTTCATTGGCAGAACTGGTGCACACTTAGTGCGTACTAAGGCTTGTTTACAATACATTTTTATATTTAAGATCGTGTCTTAATACATATTTAAAAATATTTTAAGTTATAAAATGATTTGTACGGATGTTATACATATTATATTACTGGTTAAAAATATTTGAGAATTTATTTAAGACAATCTTTCAATATAATGACATACTGAACAAGGCTTAGTGCGCACTCAGTGCGCACCAATTCTGCCAATGAAAAACGCTATTAGAGTTAGCTAGAGTAGCCTAGCGGATAACGTGAGCATCAGGTAGTTGATTTTCAAAAAATGTTAGTTATTAATAAGTTTAATGTACAAAATACTCGGTCGTCTGTCTGTGTTGTTTGCCCGCGAGTGGTTAGGTTGGATAGGTAATAATATGATATAATAATAAATTAGTATAATTAATATAGTTATAATAATTAGTATAGCTATATAAAATGTGATATTATAATATGTATATATAGTATATATTAATAAATGAAATTTGATACAAAGTGTAATTTTAATATAAAGTGATATTGTGGCATGGAGGCAAAGAAGAGGAAATGTGCGAGAAGAAAATTCCAGTATGCATGGTTAAATATGAATATTTTCAATGATTGGTTGGCTGTAGAAATTACAAATTAAAAAATATATTTATATTTACTTATGAACAGCATTCTGTTTCTTCCCACAAACTTTCTTTTCTCCCTTCATATTTTCTTTTAGGTGAGGGATCTTACGATACCTTAAAATAGATACGGCGCTGAGGTTACCACAGAGTTTGCTCAATGCGCGTGTGCGAAAATATATCGAGAACTCCCAGCACTGCCTTTGCGTAGTGTTCCAAGATTGAGGGACAAAAGTCGCGCATGCGCAATAAGCGAACTTTGTTCTATCTTAAGGCCAAATCACGCTAACGATTGGCGATAGATGATTGACGATTGAAGATTGGAACTTTACCAATGGGAACAAAGTAAGCCAAGGCTGAAGCTTGTTGATTCGTTAAAATCTAATCTTTAAATGTCAATCGTCAATCGCCAATCGCTAGTGTGATTTGGCCTCAATTAGAATAATTGACTGTGGTTGGTCAGTTGTTTAAAGCCAGCAGCACACGATGCTTGTTTTCATGCTGGATTACTTGCGGGATGGAAATACTTTGTTCTGATTGGTGCATTTCTGAAGACGGACCAATCGGAATAGTGTATTTTCATCCAGCAAGAAATCCAGCACGAAAACAAGCATCGTGTGCCTCTGATTTAAGACTTAAATCTGAAAGTGAGGTTGTAGCCGACACTTAATTGTACATAGGTTCAATCAGGACTAATTCAATTTTTGCTCGGCTGGAAACTGATTAAGCCCAATTTACAATCGGTCGCAAAAGACATTTTTACTCGCAAAATTGTTTGCCGAGTAACCCAAATCTCGAAAAATAGCCCATTCTGACACCCCTGGCCTCAAGCCATAAGAAGTTGATCAATCATAGTCGATTATTTTCTTTATATTTGATTGGTACAAAGCTCTTGACTTCCATCTCATTTCGGATATGAACCATATCACAGACGCGAACCACTGTTATCGAGCATAATCAATGTAGTTGATGTCCATTTGGCCAGGGGACGCTTCCTTTTCTCTAAATGAACGTCCACTTTCGTCGGTGGCCACTCTCAGGTTTTTTTCTAACAATTGTCATTCTAGTTTAACTGCCACAGAGAAAAATTGTGTTCTCACTAAGGGCCGTGGCACACAGAAAAACTTAAGATGCCAATACATCGGAGCGTTCCAGCATCGAGCGTTAAAGCGTTAGCCAATCAACGTATCAGGTCCCAGAAGTAGTACTTGTAGTTCTTGCGGAAAGTGGCACGTTGATTGGCTACCGCTTTAACGCTCGACGCTCGATGCTCCCATGTAAAGGTACCTTTAAGCAGTAAGACGTAAGCAGTAAGCAAATTGACCAATCACAGTTGTTGATTCTTCTTACGGTCCAAGAATCAACGACTGTGATTGGCTGATTCGCTTACTGCTTACGTCTTAAGGGACGTCTACATTGGAAGTAAGTAGGAAGTAAGAGTAAGAAATTGACCAACCATAGTCGAATGTGAGAAGAATAATCAACTATGATTGGTCAATTTCTTATTCTTACTTCCTACTTCTTATTGCTTACTTCCAATGTAGACGTCCCTTTAAGCTGGTGGCACCTTGAAAAATTTAAGCAGTAAAGGGACGTCTACATTGGAAGTAAGCAGTAAGAAGTAGGAAGTAAGAGTAAGAAATTGACCAACCACAGTCGAATGTGAGAAGAATAATCAACTATGATTGGTCAATTTCTTATTCTTACTTCCTACTTCTTATTGCTTACTTCCAATGTAGACGTCCCTTTAAGCTGGTGGCACCTTGAAAAATTTAAGCAGTAAAGGGACGTCTACATTGGAAGTAAGCAGTAAGAAGTAGGAAGTAAGAGTAAGAAATTGACCAACCACAGTCGAATGTGAGAAGAATAATCAGCTATGATTGATCAATTTCTTATTTTTACTTCCTACTTCTTACTGCTTACTTCCAATGAAGACGTTCCTTTACTGCTTAATTTTTTTGAGATGCCACCAGCTTAAAGGAACGTCTACATGGAAGTAAGCAGTAAAAAGTAGGAAGTAAGAATAAGAAATTGACCAATCATAGTTGATTATTCTTCTCACATTCGACTGTGGTTGGTCAATTTCTTACTCTTACTTCCTACTTCTTGCTATTTACTTCCAATGTAGACGTCCCTTAAATCTTTCATTACTTTTTGGATTAAAGAGAAGAAAAATTTACTTTTTAGGGATATAAATAAGAATATTATGTGCCGTATAGTCACAAATATCTTTGAGGAAGGCTGAAGGCACAGTGCGACGGGAGACAAATTATCAGATGGAGAAAAAAATTTTGTCAACTGTCAAGAGTGTCCAAAGCTTTACATTGTTTTGTAGTATAATTGATTGATTGATACAATTGCTGCGATGGAGGAGAAATCTGACCAAATTAAGGAAAATAACGATAACAATATTGACATAGAATCGAAAGTGAGTGAAAATGAATTGTTTTACTTAAAATATTTTAAATGTATATTAGTAGCAAAACATTCAATCTTAAATGAGGTTATGTTTTTAGACAATATTAAAGAGAAAACTTCAGATGAAATCTGAAGCACTCATGTTACTAAGCCAGGAGTTGGATCAATGTAGGATACAACGAGATCAGTTTAAATTGATGGCTGAACAAATTCAAGAAAGATTTTTGCATTTAAAGAAGCAGATGTGTGACACAAAAGAATTGAATAGGTATCAAAATCAAACTGTGCCAACAATATTATGGCAAAACCCTTACATGACTTATCATAAGTTTAAGTAACAAATATTAATATTTGCAGATGCTACAATTTAGATGATGACTTTAGAACTTTAGATTTGTTAACAGAAGCACGAGAACAGAATAAATGCCTGAGGTTACAAGTAGAAACACTAAGACAGAAGCTAGGGGATGCTGAGGGTGATATCAAGGCATTGCGTATGAATAACAATCGTGTGTCAGTTGAACAACAAGATGTGCAAGTTGCACCCTCAATGCATCAAAGGGAAGAAATGATAGAACAATTAGAAAAATTAAATTTAAAGGTTAAATTAAATTGGTAAAAAATTTAAATTGTTATATAAGGAGACATCTCTATGAATCATTAACTATTTGAATTGGTTTATACTTAAATAGGATATTTTCTACCAGTTTATAAAAATTTTTAATTTTTATCATAGTGTTCACAATTACAAACGGATCTACAAACAGTTCTGGATGAAAAACATGAGCTAGGAATGGAAAGAGATGCCTTCAAGTGTAAGGCACATCGTTTGAATCATGAGCTGTCCAAGGCTTTAAATGCTTCGAAACCAGTTGATTTGGATGCTCTTATCAATGAGAATAGGTAATTAATGGTTAACTTGTGATTAGATATTTGAATCTTATTGATAATACTAACTTTTTAGGTACTTGCAAGAAAGATTACAACAATTACTTGAGGAGAAAGAACTCACTCGCCAATCCTTGTCAAAATACAAGGTAATTGTAAGATTATCATACTTTTTAATTTAATTTGTGATTAATTTCTGATATCAGATAATTGACTATCTCTAGAGTATGTTGGATAGTAAACGAACTAAAGGAGCTATTAAATTGGGAGCAAATTCTGCAGTTGGAACAGTAATGACTCATAAACAAGGTGAAACATCTATATTTTTTATCACATGATGTATCTCGAATTTATAATAAAAATAATAATTTATAATAAAAAAAAATATAATTTTTTCTTAGTTGAACAGCTTCTTCAAGAGAGTTCTTATATACCACCTCAGAAGTCTGCTGCTGCCGTTACCGATCTACGGTGTCTTTGCACAGCTTTGTTGGAAGCTTTGAATGACAAAACTTTAGCTCTAGCTCACCAAAAGAAAGCGAATAAGTAATTTGACATTAGTTATACTTAGTCTACTAACTAATCTACTGTTCAATGAGTCAAATCACATGTGTCATTTGTAGAATATTGGCATTAAGAATCTGTGAACTCGACAGTGCAGTACAATCACCGACTATGAGGCTTTTGGAAGGCTACACGAGCGCCAATGTTGATTTGAGATGTTAGTGCAATCATATAATCGTGCAACTATCGTTGTTACTTCTTTCAGCATCTTATTTCTAATAAATATGTGATGTTATCTCTTCATTCTTTGCAGGCGATAACGAGTTTAACGATTTAGATCATACGAATAATTGCGGTGCAGATAGCATCGAAGAGACCAATATTATAACGAACAAGAGTAACGTACAGTGTAGCTCTTCACCTGAAAATCAAGTTATACAACAATTGCAATCGATTCAAATGAGCCTTCCGAAAAATCTGGGAATATTGGTTCAAAAGGCGTTAAATAATCTGAAAGATAATGACAAACAGAAGATATGAAGTTAAAGTCACATGGTATACAGAAAAGTATACGTGCCTCCACATGTACATGTACGTGTGCATAAATCATGTCTCTGTAAACAGAGAAGATGGAGTATTCTAATGAAAAATTCATTAGTCTGCTTCATTCGACATATATGAATCTAGTCTCTCGGAATCGTTGAAAACTAACGAATTCGAGGTAACGATTAATTTATGATCTTTAATGTGACATGAAATGCTTAATATTTTTACCGAATTAGTAGTTAATACAGCAATCTCAAAATTTTGATAGATACAGATTTTAATGAAGCAAAAGAGGCAGTTGTGTTTCTTACATGATGTCGGTTATCACGGTTGATTTGACATATCATTTACGTAGGACATAGCACCGTAATAGATAGGTTGACAGTACGATCGTACTAAATGATGGCGTTTCTGCAAGTACTTTTTATGCAAGACACCGTTCAGATGGTCACAGATTGAATTAAGTCTTTCCATGAGAGTTATTGATGGACCTGCTGATTTCTTTAATTGATCTCTTTAATAAGATGCGTTTCCTCTATGTGAGAATATGTATGCATGTTATTATTATCAAATCAATATGTCTGATATATCCTATGTATAATATATCTGTATATATTAGAAGAGAAAGACCAATTATCATTTCTTTTGTTTTTATGCTCGTATCTATCAACATCGATTAAATAATCTTAATTTGAGTTTATGAATTGAGGATTATGAAATTCTACATAGTCTTCTATATAGACATAATACATAACGTAAATTAAATTATGTGAGATGTTATATATGGATGTCGTTTTGAAGAACGTATGTCTTGCTAAAAAATTAATTGAGAAGAGTTTAAATGTTTAACCTTTAAAATCCTAATGTATAAATTTATGAAAATTGTTTCTTAAACAGTTTGCAGTGTGTAGAATTCTTTGCTTGCATTCTTATCTACAGAAAGTTTAATCTACCAATCTATTAAATAATGAAATTATATAAAAAAAAAGAAAAATTTGTGTGTGTGTTATCTGTTTTAAATATTACATTTATAATTAATGTCCAAAACAGATACGGTGACTGTCTCATAATTTAATTATTCCTGTATATTTTAATATATAATTTATATTATACACAATTTATATTCTCTACATAAAAAACGACTGCATATCACGTAAAAAATACGTAAATAATCCGCGTAATCTTAAAATGTACGGCATAAAAAAAATTTTGGTTTAAACTTTATTCAAAGATTTAAATTTAAATTTAGGTTTAGAACGACGGTTGATAGAAACGAATATTATTAAAAGCTTTTTGGTAAGACTGAAAACTGAAGAAATGAGAATTAGTCCTTTCCGCCCGAAGTATAGATTTAGTAAATTTACATTGTTAACTTCGTTACTCTCAATTTCAATGTTTTTTTGCCTTTTTCACGCGTCACATGCTTGAACATTGATCCTTTCCTCAACTTCTCTCCATAAGATATTCATTTGATTCATCTTCAATCATTTAATGCATATCTCTTTTCTTTGTTGAGCCTTTCTCTTTTCCAAGATTTGAGCGTATGTCTGAAAGTATTACAAGGTGTCTCGATTAATTGCACTGGACGGTAAAAATAGAGTGCACTTGCTTAAAACGCTTTATTGCGTTTGATTTCGCGTATTTTTTCCTATTACTTCTTCTCTGCTTCTCTCAGTAATTTCCTATAAGTCAAGTTTTTCCCTTTTTTCCAAGTTTCAAAAGATCTTAGTAGTTTGATCGATTTTCTAAATAACATAAATTTAGTGTTTTACACGTTCAATATTCCTAATTCTGTAACATTCGCAGGTTTCTCTTATGTAAACGTAATAACACGTTATTCTGTTTTCTGACTTTTCTCTGTGATGTTGTCTTTCAATTTCTTCATGATTTTTGCCGTTTGCACTGGGTTATTCCAAACTTGGATTATTTCCAAACTGGACACATTGCCGCTATTTACACGGTGTTCAGTATCCTTGGAACTTTCGAAAGTTTTTTCAGTATGATCGCTACAAAAATTTGTCTATATGTATCGAGAGAGTTAAGTTACCAAAACACATAATTTTTTTCGTATATAACTAAATAATAGTAAACAGTCCAGTGAAATGCAATCAGGTAAATCGGATATAAAAACAGTGTTACTTTAATCAATTTTTTGCAAATAACCGCAGCGTCTTCATCATTAGATGTATCACGATAAATTCTGATGTTATTTAGATCTCGCCTCGACAAACATTCGAGGAAGGCAATAATATTTCCTGTAAATATATAAGGTTTCTCTACTTTCAATATTATTCACATATAGAGTTTCATAAAAAACCGACTTGGCTGATTTCTCCTCGCGTATCTTCTTTTTTTTTTGGTTTCTTATTTTATTACTCGTGTGTTTTTTAGCTCCGTTATCTTCTCAAAATACTATTTTTTGTAGATAGTTCGGTCTAACTTCGTTATTCGGCCTAAGCAATAATGTTTTTTAAATAGCATCATCGTATTATGCAAAAGATATACAAAGAGAGCTCACTGAAATCTTTGAGAACTACATTGAATATCTGCTTCAAGATATTTTCCAGATTCTTGACGGAAACGCTTTTCAATTGTATTTTAATAAGGGTTTTATAGTTCGGCTTGCGATAGTATTAATATCTTAATATTTTGTAAGGATTTTTATAATATGATATAATATTGCGAATTTAATTGAACCAAATCTTAATTTGATATCATATTATTATATCATATATATATATATATATATATATTATTACTTTATATTATTATTATTACTACTTATTATTATATTATTATTATTTTTTATATTATTATTATATTATTATTTTTTATTATTACATTTTTATATCATATTATTTTTTTGTTTTCGATGCATATGTAGTAGTTGTTTTCTAGTTGTAATTAGCTGTAAACCAAAGAAAAATAGTCGTGGAACGATTATTATATATATGAATAGTTTTAATATCATTCACTGATATATATATATATATATATATATAATTTATTCATAAATTATATTCTTAATGAATATATACATGACTACATTAATATGTTACCACGTAAAAATGTATATGTCGGAGATACTTCTGTATTTATGTACATATATGTACATATATATGTACATATATATACATAGGTAAAATAGAGCTACATATTTATCTAAATTCGATATAAAAAATTGTAACAAAATTGACGAAACGATAGAATATATGTAATGTATGCTGCATTTTCGCACTGTGTAAGACTGCACAAGTCCGTTGCAATTGAACGAGACGTGTTTACATGATGTTACTTATGTGAAAATATTCGTATAATACATATATTTATATAATTATGTAAAAAATATGTATAGAATTATAAAAGGCACATACGTTATATGCAAATTTGCATGTATCAAAGCGTCTTGGCACGTGACATAATTGAACACGAAGTCATTCCCTTACTTTGAGCGAAGATCAGTTATTCGATTTCACCGAAACCATAATGTCTCAATGGACTAACTCGTCTATCTTTTATAGGAAATACAGCTGCACGTTGGATGAAAAGCGCCAATGTTCATTTATCCTCAGGCTTCAATAATAGAAGCTTTGGAATTTATAAAGATTTTTAATTGATACATAATAATTGCATTCATTTGAGTCTCCTGGGTCTACTCATGTACTCACGTAAGCTGTTCTTGTTTGATGACGTCAGAAGTAAGAAACTGCATACTCACGATTCTTGTGTTACACATTGAAATAAAACGATATATCCATATAACGGCACTTGTAATCGGTTCAACAAATTTATACAATGCTTTGAACATCCTCTTTTTGCTGTCACAATCAATAAATAGCCACAAAATTAATATAACAAATAATAAGAAATGTTTTATTAAAACCTGACATGTCACACTATTTATATTTTACTGCTATTTATTGATTTTAACAAAAGGAGAGCATTCTGAACACTTTACAAATTTGCTGAATCGATTACAAATTTTATTTTGTGGATCTTTTTTAACGTATAACGTATAACGCAAGAATCATGGATATGCGATTTCTCACTTCTGACGTCATCAACAAAGACAGCCGACGCAAGTATACTAATATTTTTGTTATCAAGATCTTTATATTTAAAGATCTAAACATAGAGGGAGAATCTTTAGATTTTAAAAATTTGGAGAGGGCAATCTTAGATGCTGAAATTTTTACAAATTCTAAGAGAAAATTTTCGCGGAACGGACGTTGGCTCTTCTTTATCCAAGCTACAGATATACCAACTTCGAAGTTGTTTCCTTTTTCAGTATAATCAGTACATGCATGTGTGTACGTGTGTTGTGTCACTTCTCAGGGGCAGTGTTGATAAATAGTTCGCGTATACGCGTCAAAATAGTAACAAATTCAGTAACGTATATGAACGTTAATTTTTGCGGAATGCGCCCAACAGGCAGGCGATACGTGAAGTATAGGTAAGTCAATCAAGTATATCCAAGTATAAGTAAGTATAGTTATATTAAAAAAATATATATTTATATGTATATAATACACACACACACATATATATATATATATATATACATATTATATACAAAGTGTCCTAGATTCGTTTCTGCAACGTTCGTAGAACGGATTGAGGTCAACATAATACTCCCATACCGTTTTACGATATATTCGTAATAAATCTCAAGATATTAATTAATATCTCCAGATGTATTGCGAATATTACGAAACGATATGGGACTTTTATATTCACCTCGATCCGTTCTATATTCCCACAAATATTGCGTAAACGAATCTAGGACACTTTATATGTTATATATAAAGTATATCTTATACTTTATGTTTAATATATTAAAATAATAACAATAAATTCGATTATCAATAATTAGTCAAATAAATAAATATCTGTGAATATCTATTCCATCTTATAAAAATATATATTACATTTTATATAAATAAAAAAAAATTGTGTGTAGACGAATCTAGGACACTTCGTATATTATATATAAAGTATATCTTACTTTAATATGTTTGATATGTTAAAATAATAATAACTTCGATTATCAGTAACTAGTCAAATAAATAAATATTTATGAATATCTATTCCGTCTTATAAAAAAAAAATATATATTACATTTTCTATAAAATAAAAAAAAAAATGTTGCATAATAGAACTCCCTTAAGAGAGTGATTCTATTTGTTTTCGGTACTTTCTTGATCGCCATGCATACGTGAACTGCCTATCATATCAACACTGCTCAGGGGTCACGAACACATCACATCACGATCCCGCTGTATGCACGATTCTACCGCCTGTCACTAATTTTTTATCAAATAGTCGATCCAATTGATGTACTCCGTGACGCGCGTGTACACGCCGGGATAGTTGGGCTCGCCGCATCTGTTCCCGAACGAGACGATACCTATCTGCGTCCATCGACTTTCGAGTTTCAACATCAGCGGTCCACCGGAGTCACCTTGACAGGCGTCCTTGCCGCCTTGGGTATAGCCGGCACATAAATAGTTTTTGTCGATCGGCTGGCTGTAAACCCTGTTGCAGTCCTCATTCCTCCACACTGGCAAGACCGCCTGTCGTTGAATTGTGCTTTCCTTCCCACCTGTGTTGCATCGTTACGACATTTATCGCTTACATACTAAATACGTATAGTCGGCTAATTAAAAGTAGCAACCCAGATTTAAAGAATTTAAATGAGTCTAAGTCGTCTTACAAACGATAATTAAAGTCGACAAAAAATTATTCTAGAAAAAGATAGTTAAAAGTCGACTAAAAAAAGTCGGCAGTCATTTATGCTGTGTGGGAAGACTTAATCCTTATTTTAAGATCTCTCTTATCTAAAATCTTATTTCAGTATCTTCGAATACGGAGGATCGATTCTTATATTTAAATCTTATTACAGAATGCAAAAGCAAAAGGGGAGTGCATGGAATTTCTTACAAATTTGTTTAGTTGATTGCAAGTGTTATTTTATGGATATATATTTTAACGTATTTTGCAAGAATTTTTAGCATGTATTTTCCCGCTTTGACGAAAAACTCTAACTTATTACACACTTACAAGTTAGAGTGTGTTAGAACGCGCGCGCGCGCGCGGTTGTTGGCGCTTTTTGATACGACGCGATACTCAAGCAATCTTCACATCTACGTCATCTCGAGTAATCGTGAAATAAGTCTTAATTACCGTAATAAGTGGCACCCCAGCCGACCACCGTTGGCCTGGCGCCGATGAACATTTCTTCGCGGTATTGCTTCTGCGGCAAACATATCGGTATCACGTACGGTGATTTCCTTACAGGCTTGCCGAGTTCGAACACGGCGATGTCGTTGTAGTAACTTTGCCGCACATAATTAGGATGCGTGTGGATCACTTTCACGGGATAGGTCGCTGGCGATGAGGGTTCGTCGTCTCTCTTCAGGTCGATGTCGCCAAGACGCACGGTGAATTGGCGAACGGAGAAGCTGCAACATCCACGGATATCTCAGATCTGTCCTGTTTAGCTGAACTGTCTGAGCCGGTGTAATAAGTTAGAGTGTGACAAATATATTTTGTTTCACTCTAACTTATTGCACCAATCTGTATCAGTTTAGGCAGTTAAGTTAAAAAAACAGACCTCGTATTGTGGAAATTCGATGTGCTTGAAAATGGTTATTTTCTGAACATCCGGACAAAACAAGGCGGTTTTTGGAAAATATTATAAATAAGCTTAGTTTTTATTTAAGAAACTTTTACTTGTAATTTACATTATAAATGTTAATAGAAAATGAAAAGATTTGGGAAAATAGTAAAGAAATAATATTTATTCGGCATAAAGTAAAATTGCGCATCAAGATCGCCACACTGCTTGCCCACAACTCGTTCACCAGTGAACAGTTTTTTTATTGCTCTTTTAATTGCAGAATGAACATCTCTTATTTTTCGGAAACTTCTCCATAATACACTTCATTCTCACATAGTCGCAAAAGCACGTTCTCCACGAATCTCGGAATTTTCTTGATTATCATTATTTTTTTAATATATTGAATAATTATAATAATAAACAATGAAATATTCGTTATTACGTTATATTATATTTGTTCGCGAATTAGTTTATACGAAAAAATACAGAAATAATAAAATCTGTAATATAACTTTTTACTGACGTCATTCGCTTCGTAGGTGTTTTTCGAAACAATTGTGACCTTCAACACTCGCTTTTTTGCACTAAACCGGCAAAGACAGCTGTGTTTGCAAATGTAAACTCTCATTATCATTTAATTTTTAAAATTTTTTAGTAGATTCCATGTATCTAATCTGTTCTAAAATAAGAGTATTGAAATTTTCTCAAAATAAGCCACGAAGCAAACGGAGAGTTAAGTAACCGCGGAGAAAAGAAAAGAATATGTATCTCTATAAGATCGAAATCACGAGGGGATACGTATGAGTACAGCAACGCAAAATATATATGAAATGTCAAGTTTTTTCTTCAATATTTGAATTAAATAATCAAACATTAACTTATTTGGACCGTCTCAATATATAAAATTGCTTAAATCTCCTGACCCCTCGCATTGTCTATCTCTTTTTAATGACGTCAAAGCGGGAAAATACATGCTAAAAATTCTTGCAAAATACGTTAAAATATATATCCATAAAATAACACTTGCAATCAACTAAACAAATTTGTAAGAAATTCCATGCACTCCCCTTTTGTTTTAACAATTAATAATTTATTGTAAATTAACCTGAATAGAAATAGACGAAGAAATAGGTTAAGAAGATGAATTGTATGGCTGCGTTCGGGGAGACGCTATTTAGCGCTATGAGTGTACTCTGTCCTTGTTTGTTCCTGAAAGTTGAACAAGGACAGAGGATGCTCATAGCGCTAAATATAATAGCTTCTCCCCGAACGCAGCCTATGTTACATTAATTTACGATAAATTATTGATTGTTAGAACAAAAAGTGAGTACGCGGAATATCTTAAAAGTTTGTTTAATCGATTGCAAGTGTTACTTTATGGACATATATTTTTATTTTACCGTATTTTGCAAGAGTTTTTAACATGCATTTTCTCGCTTCTAACGTCATGAAAAAGAGATAGACAATGCGAGAGACCAGGAAATTCAACAACATTTATTAATATTTATGAGTAACATTCTCAGTACGTATTGAGAAAGCGGATAGTCAGGACTATAGATCTTAGCTCACATTGTGAACTCTCTTTTATCTCTGAAAGCGTCTTCAAAAGTAGCTTACAGTCTGTGGTATATCTAGACCGAGTATTGAGGAGAGGAGAGGCTGAGGTGCACGCAGAAAAGAGCTCACTCTGTTTTGTGCTTTCTCTCGTTGCGTATACATAAAGCTCAAATAAAACCCTTATAGAAATATCATACTAAGAATCATTGATAATTACTTATTATCCAGTATTTTTAATACTGAAAATAAGTAATTATCAATGATTCTTAGTATGATATTTCTATAAGGGAAGAAAATGCTCGATCTAGATATACTGTGTCTGTGAAATATATCACTTACGCATCATGTCTCGAATCACGCGTGCAATGAGCGGCGGTGAGGATGTGACGTGGTCCAACCAGTGTTCCTCCGCACCAGAACTCCGTCCCGGTCAAACCACGAAGGAAGATCGCCGCCATCCAGGGCCAACGTCCGGGCAGCGACGCTTCGCCGCCGACCACTCGGAATTTGCCGGAATTGACCAAGCCGCATTCTAAACAAAGAAACCGCCGTTCTTCGCTACAGGAGACACTTTTCGGACAAGTTTTGCTCGGATAAACTAATTATTAGCAGAAGAGAAAGTGGTATTTTATGATGTCTCTCATAGCATAAGATCTTGAAGGGATATCTTGGGGATTTGTGTGGATATTTAGAAGTCCTCGGAATATTTTTAGGATATTCTGAGGAATTATGCGGACATTTAGCAATCTTCTGAATGTCTTTGGGATATCTTTTAAATCTTGTGCTGTATGTGGGTGTATTATATATTATTTAATTTACATGTGCACGATGCTTAGTACGGGATGCTTAGTGTCAAACACTCTGTGTATATGAAATTTATTATGTGCAATTGCAATTGTTAAGTTGCGGAATGTCCTGAGAGAGGCCTTGCTTTGGAGCAGATAATAAACGCTATTCGTTCATTGGCAACGTGTTAGTTACTTAATTACAAATTAATAAGATTGGGAAAGTTACTTTTTAAAAGTAACTAGTTATAGTTACAAGTTACTGGCTATGAAAAGTAATTCATTCCAGTTACAGTTACTAAAAAAATAACGAGTCGTTACTTTTAAGTTACTTTCTTGAAATGATTGTAAATTATTATTGTAAATAGAAAAATCTTACATTTTAAGCTCTACTAAAATGTAAGAATTGAATTTTATAATTAATACCTATCACTTTAATTAGTTTATCCACTTAATAAATTTCAAATCTGTATTTAATATAATAAAAATTTAATGATAGTCTCGTAGTGGTAAAAGAATTTAATCTCATGCTCCATAAGTACGTTGATAAATTTATTAAATTAATATACGATTACTACATAATGTTAATTTTATTTTTACGTTTCCCAAGTAACTATTAAAGTAACTGTTAAAAAAGTTACAAGTTACTAAAAATAAGTAACTAAGTTAAGTTACAGTTACCGAAAAAATGTAACTGTAACTGTAACTTCGTTACAAGTAACTCGTTACTTCCCAACCCTGCAAATTAATAATAATTAATTTGTAATTGATAATAAAGTATCGAGTATACCTTCGTCTTCTTGGATAAAGTTGTTGCTGACGCCAGTCGTCTCAAAGCCGTTTGTATTATTGAACAAAATGGGTCTTCTCGTCGTGGATGATGTCGCCGGGATCAGCGGGATCGGACGTAATATCGGAGCTTTGGTGGGTCGAATTTGCGGTCGCGGTGGACGTCCCCCATTAGTCTCGCTTCCGCCGGTGTTGCTGCAACATTTACGACCGCTTTAATCTCTCTCAGACGACAATAAAATGCGATATTTCAGTCGAAGACGAGAAGAATTCCGCGGGACACTTACACGGAGGCCAAGGGGTTGCTGCTTTTGTCCGTAGGACAACAAACCCCCGGTACGAACAGACTCTTGAAGCACAACGATTGCCTCAGTTTGTTAAGGTCGAGCAACAGTTGCGGGCAATTACTGAGGTCCTGACACTTTCCAGAATCACCCTCGGGCGTAGAGCATGTGGGCAGAGTAGAATCATTGTCTCTGTCTGCGAGTTCCACCTGTTGCGACTGTTGCCCTTCCCGTTTGACCGGTGTGGACGTGGTAGTCTGTTTCGAGAACGCGACACCGCGCACTAAAGGTGCAATGCTGTCCGTCACGTTGCGACCTGAAGAGCAACCGAGAGAACACCAATGGGCGATAACGAGACATGGATATTGAATCTTTTTTCTTCAAGATATACAAGTATGAAGTGAAAGAATTCATATTGTATATTTATGCAGAGCAGTCTACTTAAAAAAGAGAGGATCAATGGCTTAATATCCTGAGAAGCGAAAAGATCAATTAATGTAACATAAATATATGATATAATCAATTAAATTAATTTGACATTATAATATCATTTTATGCTAATTTTGAAATCATGTAAGTAAGCAAGAAACAGACCCAGACAACATAATGTTTAAAATCGGGACATAAGACGTCTTAAAGATAATCTTTAAGACGTTTTAAAGATATTTATCGTAAATCGTCTGAAAGACATCTTAAAGATGATCTTTAAGACGTCTTATGTCCTGATTTTAGATATTATGTTGTCTACTTTTTGAAACATCGATATTATATATAATATAATATCGATATTATATATAATATAATATTATATTTTTGCAACGTTTCTACATAATGTTTTATGAATGTAGTTTTAAAATGTTACATACAATATTATTGTTTTCCGCATATTCAAAGAATATTTAAAATACTTGAGACAAACAATTTTTTAAATATTACTGACTAATAAGTAAAAAACATGAAAATAATATACCAAACAACACAATATTTTAATATTTCCCACACAGCACGTGATATATACAGGGTGTTCAAAAAGTCCCGGACCGGTGAAATATCTCTAAAACTAAGCATTTTAGAAAAAAATGTTTCAGACAAAAGTTGTGGCGTTTAAAAAGATGTATTTACTGATCACATCAGTTTGACCTTGGGTTGCGTAGCGAAGGTCAGGTCAAGGTTACATTAATTTTTTTAAATGGAACACCCCATTTTTCATTGCATATTCTTATAGCACATCTCGAGAGCTTTCCAAAACGCTATAATAAAATATTTTTTCGTTAAG